ACCTTACTCGCCACGCGCATTTAGCGCAGCACCTATAACATGGGAAGAGAGGACGGATGGAAGGGTGAGGGAGAAGGATGCAGCACGGGATTCGCAGAAATGGGGGTTTAAGCAAAAAACACGTGATTGAGGGCAGACCCTAGCGGGCTGGTCGGGAAGGCGGACCCAGCCGGCTTGGTCGAGCATGCGGGTTGTTCAAGCGTGAGTCATGCATGCATCGCGGGCAAGTCTCCAGAGATAGCGCGCTTCCCAAGTAGATCGTAAGAAAAGTCAAAGCCAGAGCGTTATTCCTGAGTGTCGAGGGTACGGCGTTTGAACATATCGCGCCGAAGTCCCACGCGAAAGCGCGATTCCTACATAAATTGTTGGGAAGTCCCGTGCGAGAGCGCGATTTTTCAATGCAGCGTAAGGAAGTCTCAGGCGGGAGCTGTTGTTGTTGTAGCCGGGAGGCAACAATGCAGTTTGAGCAAGGAGACCTTCCGGGAGCACAAGTAGAAGAACCAGACGGGCGTGTCGGCCAGGCGAGCCCTGACGGGCAGGTCGGGCGGGCGGGCCCAGACGACCTGGTCGAGCGGGCGGGTCGCGAAAGCATCAACCCATCATGAAGGAAGTTTCGAACGATAGCGCGATTCCCAAGGAAAGCGTGAGGAAATCCACAGCAAAATCGTGATTGGTGAGTCTTGGGGGCACGGCGCCCCATAAATTGTTAAGTGCCACGCGCGAGCGCGAGGCCTTTGAAAACTATGAGGAAGTCCGGCGCGAGAGCGCGAATGTGAAATAAATTGTGAAGGATCAGGCGGATGCCGCTGCTGCTGTAGTAAACCTGGGGCCAGAGGCGCAGTTTGGTGACCGCAGCTTTTCCCTAATAGAATGCAGGGTGCGAACCACGAGAGGATCAGTTTGATTGAAAATACAATGGTCACCTGGGCGACCAACAAGATTTTTTCATGCATGAGAACTCAACAAGTATAAAACAACAACAACAGCAGCAGCAGCAACAACAACCACAATCATTTTAAGACTGGTTGCCCTTATCTGCTCGAGTGTCCAATCACGCGTATTTCCCAAACCCTCGATACCCGCCCTCTTCGTCTTCGATCGAACCCCTTTTGGGGGGTATACCTTTCTTCCCTGCAAGCCAGGCCCTTGCAAGCGGCGGGGCGGCCGCGGACCGTCGGCCTGGTCAGCGGCAGCGTTGATCGGCAGGGCGGCCGCGGACCGTCGACCCGACCCCAAAAGGGACGGACAGGGGACCGACCACGACGACGACGGCGACGACGACGACGACGACGACGATGGCGACGACGACGACGAGCGAAAGCGAGAGCGAGAGAGAACGACAGCAGGGCCACGAAGGACACGAACTAGGCCACGAAGGGCGACAGCGGGGACACGAAGGGAATGCGTATGGGGCCACGTAGAGCGCGAACGAGCGGGGGCCACGAAGGGCAGATAATGCGGGGCCACAGGAGGCAACGATGGGGCCACTGAGGGTAGCAACTGGGCCACGTAGGACAGTGAGGGGGCCACAAGGGGCGGCAGCGGGGCCACGAAAGGCATGCACATGGGGCCGCAACGGGCGCGAACGAGCGGGGGCCACGAAGGGCATACGTATATTGGGCCGCGGAGGGCAAGGGCGGGGCACCTAAGGGCAGCAACGGGGCCACGAAGGGCAGCGAGGGGGCCACGAAGGGCGACAGCGGGCCACGAAAGGCATGCATATGGGGCCACACCGGGCGCGAACGACCGGGAGCCACGAAAGGCATACATATATGGGGCCACGAAGGGCAGCGAGGGGGCCACGAAGGGCTGCAACGGGGCCACGAAACAAAGCGAGGGGGCCACGAAGGGCTGCAACGGGGCCACGAAGGGCAGCGAGATCCCGACTCCTAGGTAATCTGTGAGGGAGTCCTAAGCGTGAGCACGACTCCTGGGTGCCTGGGTGTCGGGAGCGCAGCGCTTGAATAAATTGCAGGAAATTCCAACGCAAGGGCGTGATTCATCAGTAAGCTGCAAGCAAGTCTCCAGCGAGAGCGCGACTCCGCGCCGGGAGAGCGATTCCTGAATAAATTGTAAGGAAGTCCCAAGCGAGAGCGCGATTTCTGAATAAAATGCGAGGAAGTCTTGGGCGGGAGCGGGGGTCCTGGCTAAATTGTAAGGTAGTCTCAGGCGGGAGCCGTTGTTGTTGTAATCCTGGGGCCAGGGGCCCAGTTTGACCATGAAGATTTTCTTTGTCAAAAAACGGGGTGCGAACTTCGACAGGCACACTTTGATCGAGAGAAAAACACTATGCACCGGTGGGGGGGATCAGCAATAATTATTCTTCTGAAATGAGAGTTCCACAACCACAACCACAACAGCAACAACCATAGCAACAACACCAACAACACCACACCCACAAACACAACAACAACAACAACAATAATAGTTTCAAGACAGTTCGATCGTATCTGTTCGCGTGCCATCCAACGCATATATATATATATATATATATGTATCTCGAACCTTCGGTGCCCGCCTTTTTCGTCTTCGATCGTGCCATATTAGGGATAGATCTGCTTCACCTGTAACGTCTATTCCGTGCAGCCCCTATGGCAGGGGAAGAGAGGACAGATGGAATGAAGAAACACAAGGGAAGGAGCAGGATGGAACACGAGAGAGAATAGCAGGAGGGAGCCTAGGAGCAGAAAACACGTGGCAGAACCCGACGGGCTGATCGGGCGGGTAGACCTTAACGGGCGGGTCAGGAAGGCGGGTCCAGGCGGCTTGGTCGAGCAGGCGGATTGTTGAAGCGTGCGTCTTGCATGAATCGCGGGGGAAAATTTCTAGATATAGCGCGCTCCCCAAACCAATCGCGAGGACATCCACAGCGAGACCGTTATTCTCTAGTGTCGAGGGCGCGGCGTCTGGATAAATTGCGAGGTGTTCCACGCGAAAGCGCGATTCCTGCAAAATGGTCAAGGCGCCTCGCGCGAGAGCACGATTCTTGTATAAATTGTGTAGGGATATCCCGCGCGAGAGCGCGATTCGGGAATCCATTATGAGGAAGTATCAAGCGGGAGCTGCTGTTGCTACAAACCGGGGGGCAACAACACAGTCGAGTGACCCCTCATTTTCTTTGTAGAAAAACCGGGCGCGGGCCCCAGGAGAAGCATCTTAATCAAAAAGTACCATGGTTACCACAGGGGGGATCAACAACCATTATTCTTCAAAAGTGAAAATCCAACGACGACGACGACCACGACGACAACAACAACAATCAGTTCAAGACTGTTCGTTTTTTTGCTCGAATGCCATTCAACCCGTATATCGCAAATGCTCGATACCCGCCATCTTCGTTTTCGATCATACCCCCTTGGGGGCATATCTTCCTGTTCTGCCACGTGTACTTGGTAGACGGATGGACGGGGGAGGAAGGAGGATGGAGCACAGGAGAGATTAGCAGGAGCGGGGGGCCAGGTCCAGAAAACACATGGCAGAACCAGACGGGCTGATCGGGCGAGTAGACCCTAAAGGGCGGGTAGGGAAGGCGGGCCTAAGCGGCCAGGTCGAGCAGGCGGATTGCTGAAGCGTGATTACTGCATGAACCGCGAGGAAGTCACGAGCGATAGCGCGATACCCAGCAAACTCGCGAGAAAAGCCAAAGTGGCGATTTCTGAGCGTGATAGCGCGATCCCAGCTATATCGCGAGACAAGCCAAAGAGGCGATAGCCCGATTCTCAGCTATCCGCGCGATTCCTGAGCGTCGAGGGCGCGGCGTTCGAATAAATTGCGAGGAAATCCCACGCGAGAGCGGGATTCCTGCATTAATTGTAAGGAAGTACCGCGCGAGAGCGCGATTTCTCCATAAATTGTGAGGAATTATCAGCTGGGAGCCATTGTTGTTGTTGTTGTTGTTCATCGACGGCCAGGGTAAAATATGATGAGCATGGTGCGAGCCGCGGGAGGAGCACTTGAATCGAAAAACGAGGTTCTCCGGAGGTGGGGATCAACAACAATTTGTTTTAGAAATGAGAGTTCACTACAACCACAAAAACAAAGACAACAAAAAAAAAAAAAACACTGGAGAAAAACGAAAAAAAAAAAAAAAAAAAAAAAAAAAAAAAAAAAAAAAAAAAAAAAAAAAAAAAAAAAAAAAAAAAACGTTTCAGGGCTGTAGGGCTATAGGGCTAGATGGACTATAGGGCTATTGGGCTATAGGGTAATAGAGCTACAGGGGTATAGGGCTGTAGGGTATAGGGGTATAGGGCTCTTGAGCTATAGGGCTATACGGCTACAGCGCTATAGGGCTCTTGAGCTATAGGGCTATAGAGCTGTAGGGCTATAGGGCTATTGGGCTATAGAGCTACAGGGCACCCCCGGGCACCCGAGCACCCCCGGGCACTCCCGGGCACCCGGGCACCCAGGCACCCGGGCACCCCCGGGCACCCGGGCAGCGAAAATCGGCGGCAAACCGAACCTAACCATATGAATCCGCTAGGACCCCTACAGAGGCAAGCTCTGATTAGGGAAAACAGACAGAGTGCATTCCTGTAGGAGTCCGGGGGCCAATTTTGAGAAGATGTTAGACGTCCTCTTCTTCTCCCCATTCCTCCTCATCCTCCTCCTCCTCCTCCTCCTCCTCCTCCTCCTCCTACTACTACTACTACTACCACTACTACTACTACTACTACTACTACTACTACTACTACTACTACTACTACTACTACTACTACTACTACTACTACTACTACTACTACTACTACTATTTTAGCTATTGAGCAGGAGCGTACCACGGATGAAAAAGATTGCGTGAAGCCGGTTTAGGCAAAGCGCGAACAAATTAGGCGAGGCCAGCGAAGAAGGTTGAGCGGACAGGGCAGGGAGACGAGCAAAAAGAATTATTAGTTTCTCCTCCTTTTCCTCCTCCTCCTCCTCCTCGTCCTCCTCCTTCTCCTCCTCCTCATCCTTCTCCTCCCCCTCCTCCTCGACTCTCGATCCGCCTTACCTCCCTCTTCGAGGCGGGCTAGCAGCACGTGCCGCACCCGAGCCTGCAGAGCCAGGCCACCACGAGAGAAAAGCACCCCGACGCTGATCCCTCTTCGGCGTTCTCGCACCCTTGGTCCTCCTCGAGCCGTTCTCTGACAGCCCCGGGGCCCTGCGAGGCCCCGCAGAGGCCAGAGTACCGAAAGGCCGCTCGCTCGAATTTGGCGGACTCCGCTTGGGAGGCCTAAACCCCCATGTCGGGCCGGACGAAAGGGGGGGATGGCAAAGGGGGAGTTTGAGAATCGGCTCACGTAGCTGATTTTCCCGGCGCCTCCCAGCGCGGGGAGGGGCCCGTGCATCGAGGAAGGGGCCCGGCGGCCGGGCCGAAACCAGCTGCATGCAGCAGATTTCGCAACCCCCCTTTTCCCGAGCCCCACCCCTTCGTTCGGCCCGACAAGAAGGAAACATGCACAAGCAGAAACTGTCACAGCAGAAGCATCACCTGCCATAGCTCCGCGCGGCCTTCGGCGGTCGGGCTCCCCCGGCGCGCTCCGCGCCGGGGAGAGGGGGGGGCCAGCGGGCGATCCAAGCAATCCGCGCGGAGCTCCGAGAGTGCATGTTTATGCAGCTGTCTACAGTCGAAAATCCGAATAAGGACGCGCGACTTTGCTCAGGGTACCCTTGCGTCCTTGCTCTTCCTTGCTCTTGCGTCCTTGGGGTTTTCGTCGTCCGCCGCCCCAGAAATCCCAACTTCGGCTTCCAAGGGTCTTGCGTCCTTACCGCGCGCTCTTATTAGGGTTTTTGACTGTATTCCTGTGTCCTCGGGGCCACGCTTACATTCGCCTCGGGATCTTGGTCAGCACGCACTACGCACATTCTGCCCCCCACAGGTCGGTCACCAGAGCACGCGGCGGAGCCGACGGAGCCTGGGCTTGAGCTGCTGAAGCCGGGCCCCGCCGGCCCAAACCTCCATAACGTTGTCACTCACGGCGTCTGCGAAGGCACGTCGGTGTCGTTGTTTGTCTCTGGTTCTCCGGCTACACTTCTAGCCACCGCCCCCTGCCTTGCTCCATCCCCGGCCTGCTCCGCCTGGCTCCTCCCTTCCCCCCAGCCCCCACGCGTCGGGAGGAGGCTCGACGCAATGCCGCTTCGAGAGAGGTCGCCCGAGCATTTGCCCGAGTGGTTGCGGGCCTCGGCGTGCATCTGGCTTCCATGCTCCTCTCGCGGCGACGCCCAGAGGACTTGACGACGGTGCAGAGCTGGCGCTCAGCCTGGGCATCCGCGAGCTCACCGAACTGACCTCCGCCTCCACCTCCGCACGGCAGGTTCGTGCTTCGGGCCGTGGGGCCAGCGGAATACAGCCGAAGCAGCGCGAAATCCGAACGGGAGATGGGGTCTTTGAGGCCCTCTTGGAGCCATCATGGGCCATCTTGGACGCTCCAGTGGGTCGCGGGGCGCCCCGTCCAGGTCCAGGGGGGGGAGGGGGAGGAGTAACCCATCCCCGAAGGGGAAGAAGGGAAGGTAGAAGAGAAAACGTGCTAAACCACTCACGCCCAGTGGGCTGGTGGGAATCCGAACGGGAGATGAGGTCCAGAGCACCTGGGGACATCCGAGAGCGGAGATGGCTCAGGGCTGAGCGGGCCACTCGGTGTCAGACGCCGTGGCCGACGTAGTCACGGCGACAGTTTGCCCTACTTCGTTTTCTCGCAGGCGAAAACAATGGCCGCGACCGCGTGTATACGGGGCGTTTTTTCGCGGATGCCCCGCGCGGAGCGTATCCGTGCGACTGCGTATCCGCGGGATCGTGCCCCGGAATGTAGACCGCGAGGGCGCGGGTACGGATATATGTTCGCCGTTCGTGATGTTGGTAGCCTCTGGCCCTTGTGGTGTTGCGGGCTATCGATGACTAGTGTTTGTCTCACGCTGATTTGTTCGCGACGCGAGCAGGGGCGCAGCGCCATGCGCGTTCGCGTCCGCACGCCTGGTTTCGTTACCAGCTTGGCTGGAAGCCGCTGCCTTGAGATTTTCCGCGCGCCTTTCTGAATCACCTGGAGTGCTCCTGCCAGCAGTGCAGAGGGGGCCAGTGATAAGCGCATCGATGTACCACTCACTGGCGCGTGCAAACGGCACGGCATGGGAGGAACAGCACACGCAGGGGGAGGTGGTTTGGAGATCATTGGAGCTTCCGCGACAGGCGGGGAAGTAATAGGACCCGCCTCGTTTTTCGCCAATTTCTCCTGCCCGCCGCTCAGCGCCTCCATGCTCCTCCCTCATCCTCCTTCCTCCTCTGCCCAGTCTTGCATTAGCCTCCCTTCACCGCCGCCCGAGAGCCCTCCTGGCATGTCGGCGGCTGCCTAAGTGCCCTGCCTAATAGCAGAGTCACGTCCAGTGCCATTCGCTACTACGACGTCTGTCAGATGCGCGGCTGTGCGCGCAACGGCTGCGCTCTTCCATTATCGTAAGCATCGGTACCACGAAGATCCTGGACGCGTGCGCAATGAGAAAACACATAGAAGAGTGAATTCACGAGCGCATTGAAATCTGCCGAGCACGCGACACACAGGCACGGCATGGTACGAGTAATTCCGGGCTCTTTAGCTCAAAGCAGCATGATCCAGCCCGCTCTTTGGAACATGTCGCCCAGCACGCCGCTGCGAACAAGCCATCGCAAAGAGCGCATCCAGGCATGTGCCTTGGCCACTATGGCTCAAGCCGTCCTGGCTCAAGTGTTTGTCTGGCGCGGGGCGGACCTGATGCACTCCCGCGGTGAGCCGGCTGCCGCCAGAGAGGGCGCCGCGCTGGTCAGGCGGCCAGTCAAGAGCCGTGGTAGGCGGCGGCATGTCGCGAGAGCGGCGACCCGCAGGCTGCTCTTCTTGCCCTCGCGGCTCTCAGAGGTGAGCGTGCCCTGCACCCGGCCTTCTCCGGGCAGCCGCGCATGACTGGGCAGCCGCCGAGGCGCCCGCGGCCGCGGACGTCGCCGGGCAGCTCTGCCGGTGCCTCGGAGGTGCTCGAGGTGCAGCCAGGCGCCGCGAGAGAGGGCCTGCACCTCGCGCACCTGCAGAAGGCCAAGGCGGAGCGCCCCGACCGCAGGCCCGGAGACGGACGCAGCGGAGAGATTCATCCGCATCAGTGCCGCCTACAAGCCCCTCGTGAAGGGCCCTAGCAGCTCGCCCGCCGCGGCTAGCCAGCCGCAGCGCCCAGCAGCAGCAGCCGCCGGGCGCGGCCGCCAGCGGCAGGACGGGTCCTCGCCAGCCGCGGCGCCCTCTCCCGCTTCCGAGGCGGTGGGCGACGGCGCGGGCAGTATCTATTTGTCGGGCGTTGCCTCGAGTTTCGTTTTCGTCGTCTACTCCGGGCTGTTCGAGAGCTCTGAGCGCCTGCCCCTGGCGGCTCACATGTTCTCAACATGGCTGGCCGTGCTGGTGCTGATGCCCAAGAGGACGTTGACATGATCCGGCAGAAGCACGATATTGTCGTTGCGGTAGACGCACGCACCCTGTGACGGACATTCCCGCGAATTTAGCGGAGACGATCAGCGGAGGAGGGAAATCGTGCAGATTCTGCGGTCAGTTCTTCTTCTGGAGTTCGGTTGCAGGACACCTCCAGTTGTTTAAGTTCAGGGATCTGTTAAAGCGGTCTCTGGACAGGAGTCGCTTCAAGCAGCGCGAGAGGCCTGCGGCCATCCGCGCTTTGCCGCAGGGCGCACGTGCTGCGGAGCGCGCAAGCTGCCATGCAATCATTAACTGCCATGCGGGACGAGTGCGCCCAGCAAACAACAGTCTTTGCATATCGTACGGGGTTTCATTCCCCAGGCGCCGCCGCCATGTCGCGATCTGCTGAGGATCTGGCTTTCAGTCTCGACTTCGGCTTCCAACACGATCACGACTACGGCGCCGGACCCGGCCACGACCGCGTCGACTACGCCTGCCACGTCGGCTCGCAGAAGGGCCACGACAGCATCAAGAGCATGAAAGCCCGCATCGTCGGCGCCAGCACCATCGACGCCAGCAGCGCCGACGCCAAGACCAGCGACTCCACTGACGAAACCATCATGGCCTCTGGCATCCGTGGGTCGCACATGGCGCCCATCCATTCGAAGGACCTGGCCGACGACCAGGCCGAGGACTCGGAGGAGGACCAGCAGGAGGTTTGCGGAGCGGGAGGGCAGCGTCGAGGTCCGCCGCCTTCCCCTCCTCTCCGCCGCCGCCGTCTCCTCCTAATTCCCGGTTTCCGTCCTGGGCCGCCCGGCCGCCTCCGAGACGTCGTTGAGGCTGCTCGAATTTCACCACAGCAGGGCTGCGCCGCAGCGTGAGCCTCAGGAGCTGGTTGCTCTCCTCTGCACCTCCATCGGCACAAGTTCGAACAGCTTTCCCGGCCAGGCCTGCCTGCTGCCGCGCCCTCCTTCCTCGCTCCTCGCCTGCCTCGGGTCCTGGGGTCCCCCCGCTCGTCGTCGCCGTCGTTTGTCGCTCCCTCCCCTCTCGATAGCTTGGCCGCGGCAGGCAATCTCGAGTCAGTTTTGGTTTGTCTCTGGCATCAGCTGTGCGGGTGCATACTGCACGCTAGCAGTGTGAACGTTTGGCCCGTGCGGCGCTGCCGACGTCAGTCTGCTTCAACTACAACTCTCTGCGTGCGCTGTGATGGGAGCTTGTATGGCCCCCTGGAGGGAAGCGGATTCAGCGCTGTATCGGAGCAGGGGCTGTGTGTGGCGGCATCTGGGTTGTGCGCTGAGGAAAAAAGTGTTGCGGAGCGCGCGCGCCCAACGCGCCCTCCTCGCCACGCCCATCTGCAGTCTCAATACCGCCCCAACGAGCCTCGCGAAGCGAGGCATCCACGCCATCCACGCTGACAAAAGGGCCGCCCCAGCGGCGTGTGGCCAGCTCCAGGGACGGCCCCCTCGCCCTCGATGGGTCCAAAGATGTCCTCCTCTTCGGCGGAAGGCTGGCGGAAGCAGAACCGTGGACGGCGCCGGTCCGCCGGCAGAAAGCAGGCGGAAGAACAAATCGTCCCCCCGAAGAGGTGACAAGCGTTTGGAATTCCTGATTCCCAGAGCCGGCCACGTGAGCTCTCTCTCTCTCTCTTTCTCTGCGAGGCGGTGTCGCACGAGACACCTTTCGAAGACTTACCTGCGGCTGCAAAGGCGAGGGGGCTGTCTTCGAATACCTTGTCTTTCGCCCACTTCAGCCTACTATATGTCTGACCTTCTCTGGCTAAGCTTGCCCCGGAACGATTTGGAGACGAACGGAACCAGACACGCCCCCGACATCCAGCTCGCCATACACCGCGGCGTCGTGATCAAACAATGGCGATCTGGGCTCTCGACCCCATCTTTCTGAGCATTTGTTCCAGATGCTTGCGGCAAGTCCCGCCACCGTGCCAGCCCAGCACTCCGTATGGCGATTGTTCGAGGAGCGCAAAGGAAGCGGCAACGTGCGATACTTCGTGTCCCCACGCTTGGGAGAGCCACACAAAATGTGGCATGCTATTCCACGTCGTGTCAGGGCATCTTTCTTCGTGTCTGTCGTCGTTTTCCTCCCTTCTTCTTGTGGCCTCTTGCGGGCTACTCGGCCATCTTTGGGCGCTAGTAGGCAGTCTGGCGCCCTCGGGGTCCATATTTGGGGTTTCTCTGGGTCGTGTTGGGGCCCTCGGGGCCTTGCAGGATCGTCTTGAGGGTCTATTGAGCCGTTTTGGTGCCTACTTGGGCCAGTATGGAGGCTTCTTGGGCCATTGTGAGAGCTTCTTGGGTGGATGGAGTTGGCGCCGTTCGGTCAGTACTCGTCTGTGTTCCATCGGATGCCAGGCCGCCTCGCGTTCCCTGGGGCAACTTCAAGCGCTTGTTTGGAAGCGCCGTCTCGCACGGCAGGAATCCTGAAGGGCCAGCACTTGGCCTCCAGAGCGAGCCAGAGCGGAGGCAGCGCGGTGAAAAGAAGGTAAGAGCGGCGGTGGGCTCGCTGGCGGCGGCCGGCGGACGGCGGCAGAAGTATATCGAGACGCCAGCGTGCTTGGATACAGGGTTGAAGTTCCAGGAATGGTGGCCTGACACTGTTCATGATCGTCAAGACGCAACAGTCAGGTCCACTCGTGGCGTTGAAGTCCTGGGAATCTGCTGTTTTGGCACGCTTCAGGATTTTCAAACGGTTGTTCCCCCCAACGTGGCACTTCCTTCAGTGGACATGAACCCTTGTAGGTGCGAGGGTGTATTCCAACATCGTCGATTAATCTTGGATTTGCACTAGTCCTCCTCCTCCTCCTCCTCCTCCTCCTCCTCCTCCTCCTCCTCCTCCTCCTCCTCCTCCTCCTCCTCCTCCTCCTCCTCCTCTTCCTCCGCCTCCTCCTCCTCCTCCGCCTCCTCCTCCTCCTTCTCCTCGATCCTCGGACCTCCTCGAACCACCTCGCGAGGTCATACTGCCGGACGCCGACTTGACTTCGGCAGGTGAGGGCCCCGGGCGCCGCGCGCCGCTGCCGGTGCCCGCACGGCGTCCGGCACACCGCGCGGCAACAAAACAGACCGCGGACCTGCGACGGCCTCCGGGTGCCGTCCTCGGCCCCCCCGGGGTGCCGTCCTCGGGAAGAGAACTTCGGGAGCCTTGAGACGGGGGTCAATGCAGACAAAAGTCAGCCAGGGCGCCAGATCCTGCAGGATCCTGCGAAGACCCCCTCTGGCTGACCCGGGTTAGCGAGCCGCTCGTGGCCGCGGGGCGGCCGCGCCTATTGGCCGACCCTGGTTTGCGAGGTCATGCGCTGCAGTTTTTTTGTTCCTGCATTGCAGTTGTTGGTTTCCGGCTGACCCGGGTCTGGATTGACCCGGGTCAGAAGAGCCCCGACAGAACGCCCGCGGACTCGCGACGGTGTGAGTTCTTCGATCGCGGCGTCAGCCTCCGGGTGCCGTCCTCGGCCCCACGGGCCCCGGTGCCGTCCTCGGGCCCGCCCGGTGCCGTCCTCGGTCCCCCCGGTGCCGTCCTCGGGCCCCCCCGGCGTCGGGACCCCCGACGTCATGGTTTTTCCATGACGCGACCCCACAAGGTCCGGACCCATTCCCCGAGACGGGCTTTGCATCCTGAGTCGTTCTGTTGACGGTCGATAAGGGCCCCCGGAGGCCGAAAATAGCGAAAAACCTCCCGTCGTGATTTTTTCATGACTCAAGGGGGTCTGGGGAAGAGGGCGTCGGCCCCTGGGTGCCGTCCTCCTTCGGCCGTCCACGCTTCGCTGGACGCGCAGCGTGGACGGCCGGCCCACGAGTTCTGCCTCGGCGTCGGCGCCAGGGTGCCGTCCCCGGCCCCCCGGGGCCATCGAAAAGGTCTCCGCGGGGCGCAATGGCCTACATAGGGAAGGTGTCGGGAGCTCGGGGGCTGCGGATTGTTGAGAGCCAGGGGCAACGTAAGGGGGGAATAGGGCTCAGGGCGACAGACCCCCCAAATCGCCAACACATCGCCGAAAAGGGCCCGACAACCCACCCTGCCCAGGATCGTGCGGAGTCGCTATCGGGGGCCTTCCGCCTTGGCGTCGCTCGGACGTGTGCATTTTTTCTCGGCGAGGACAGTCGAGGATCATCTTGGATCATCTTACGAAAAGATCCGCGCACGAAGTCGATCAGTGCACGGGGAACGGACGTCCGAGCGATGGCGAGTCGCCGATCTACCCGAAGTGTGCCGCCGGTCCCGGCTCCATGGTTCACCCCATGAGCCGGCCCGCCACCGTTTTTCCGCCCCATAGAGGCCCTGGGAGGCTCTGGGCGGTTGGGGGGGCCCGTGGCGCCCAGGCTTCCTGGCGTCACGGAGCGAACAAAAATACACGACGGAGGGTTGTTGCGCGTTTTCCGCCTGTGGGGGGCCCTCGCTGGGCCCCAGGACCGTCAAAGGCCAGGATGAGAAGCTGGTCCCGAGCGATTCCCAGACCTTTGGGAGTCGCGCGGCGAGTAGAACCACGACTTCGGAGGTCTGGGGATGACATCATCGTCATCATCAGCAGCATCAGCAGCATCAGCATCAGCCTTATAGTAGTAATCATCATCATCATCATCATCATCATCAGCAGCAGCAGCAGCAGCAGCAGCAGCAGCATCAGCATCATCATCGTCATCAGCAGCAGCATCATGGTCATCATAATCAGCAGCAGCATCACCATAATCGCCATCGACATCGTCTGCGTCAATAGCAACCTCATCAGAAGTAGCAGCATTATTATTGTCATCATCACCCTCCACATCAGCATCGGCATCAACAGCCGCATCATCATAATCAGAATCGTCATCATCCTCAACATCATCATCAGCAACATCATCATCATCATTATCGCAATCAGCAAATTACTCGCAATCATCCACATCAGCATCATCAACATCGTCATCATCATTTTCATCATCATAATCATCATCATCATCATCATCATCATCATCATCATCATCATCGTCGTCATGAACATCATCACCGTCATCGTCAGCAGCATCATCAGCAACAGAAGCATCAGCATCGCCATCTGCATCATCAGCAGCATTACGATCATCCTCACAGTTGCCATTGTGATTAACATCATAAGCATGACCACCACCACCACTGTCATCACCACCATCATCATCAACAACCCCACTATCATCATCGTCGTGATCATCCCCCCATTGACCCTGAATGCTGTGCCTGCTCCTGCTCCTCATCACCCTACCTCGTCCGAGTCGTTGTGTTCGTGCTCGTCACTGTGATCATGCTGGCCCCCCGCCTCCTCCTTTGGTTCCCTTTCGTTTCTTTTAAAGACACACCTCTCGACTCGTTTAGGCATACCCAAAAACGACCATACCCAAAATGACAACAGCCAACACGACCAAACTAAGCTCGCCCAGACGTGCTCGAAATCATTATCGTACAGGATGCCAGCGTACATTTCTCACGCACGCCCCAACGACGCCACGCGCCCACGTCAGGTTCGCAGGCTTGATGTGGCCCAAGGGAACCGCAGCTCCTGCCTCGTCGCCCACTCCTCACGATTCCCCGCTTCCTCCTCTCACTCCGTGCTCTGGGCTCAGTGCCCCTTCCCCCCTTTCCCCGCTCCGTGCTCCCCTCTGATCTTCTGAGTTGTATGTCGGGCGAGCTACAACTGGAGGGCTGCGGTCCTTGCCCCCTCTGGGACGGGGGGGGAGGGGGCCGATTTGATTCGACACCCCTCTCGAGAGATCGTCGATACGACGGGTAAGCTACCCCAGTTGTGGTTCGTCGGATAAGTGTTCCCGCCTCGCCCACATTCTATTCCACCCGACCTCCTTCTCACTCCTCCTATTTCTTTGATTGGTATCAATATTATTCCCGACCCTCCTGCGTTGGGTTC